CCAAAGCTGAACTCAAAGAAGACCCATGGTGTTCCATCCAACATAGTTCACGAATATAGGAGTTACGCTCAGGCAGTTGACCGTAATCTCCAGGCTCCCAGGCAATTCAAGCCCAGCCAGCCGTCCCGTCCGTCGCCATCTGCGGCGCCTCGTGGCCAAACCAGACCAGCCAGTTATGCAGCAGCTGTTTCCGCTCCCCAAGTGATCAGCACTGAAATGTTCACCGATCTCATCCTGGCAATGCAAGCCCTGATGGAGAGGATCACCACCGTCATGCCTGCATTTTGCCACCAAGCCCGATAGATTCAGGTATCCTGAATCACCTGAGAAGAGCCACCGTCAACGATGACATCAATTGTTATCATCGCTTCCGAGACAGCACTTCCTTCCTCCTCCAGCTGAGCCACCAGGCCAAATCGTCACACCTTCAACGAGAGCCACGTGCCGTAAGGCAGAGTTTTCACTCACACAACATTCACCGACATGTTCCGAGAGATAAAAAGCAACGGGATCAATTCCCCACTTAGTCACATTGAGGAAAAAAAAAAAAAAACGATTATCATTTGCGAACTACAAACGACCCCTGGGCATAAATATTTTTTTTTTATTACTTTTAAACAATACATTTATTTACGTTTCTTATATTTATTCTGTTAATATTGAAGATATTATTTGAAAATGTAATTCGTGAAATTAAAATTAAAAATCGATTTACAATGAAAATATTAAATAAAAATCCATAAATTCGAAGCAGAGATGAGCGTTCCAATTTATACAAAGTTAAGTTCACTCGAATCGAATACTACTTCCACCCCATACTCACTCACTCATCCACACACTAGCGTACTTCTCTCATAAACGACGTGTGAAATGTATAAATAAATAAGGGAAGAGAAAAAAAGGAGAAAAATCGCGTTAACGCAATTTTCATCGTCGATTTAATGCCCATCCTAACGATTTTCAACCCCTCTATATATATATTTTTAAATACTGCATTATTTTTTGCAGTGCTCCACATTTCCATTCTTCACAAATAATTTTTTTTTACTTTTTATAGTTTCAACATTAATTAATTCAATTATTTCATCCGCATGAACTCTGCAGAAATAATAAATGGATCTGGTTTCTAGTGGATATAAAAAGGGAGAATGGGAGAAAGGGAGAAAGCAAGTGGAAAATGGCGACGCAAACTGTAAACGAGTAACTTGTGTCCGCTTCGTTCGTTCATGCACAAATCGGTTTCTCGATTTTCCGCAGCCCCATTATAAAACTTTTTTAATGTGCTTGAAAAAAAAAAAAATTGAAAAATAAAAAAAAATTGAAAATTTTATATCTCAATGATTAATTAACAGTAAGTAAATCCAATTGTATCAAAAGGTGCTTAATTAAACATGTAATCATAAAACATATAAATTTTTATTATATTTTTGAGTTAATTTTAAAAAATGTGAAAATATTAATTATTATCTGTAATAGAAAATGTAAAATCCTCATATCTCATTCATTAATTAACATTAAGTAACTCCCATTACATGAAAAAATGCTTAATTAAAGATGTAATTATAAAACATACACACTATTATACTGTTTTTGAAAAATATAATAAAAAAATTTAAATTTAAAAAAAATTGCAAAGATAATTATTATTATTATTGAAAATCGACATATCTCTAGGATTAATTAATATTAAGTAAATGCAATTATATCAGAAATATTAATTACTACTTGTAATAAAAAATGTAAAATAGTTGTATCTCAATGATTAATTAACATTAAGTAACTCCAATTGCGTCAAAAGTTGCGTAATTGAAGATGTAATCACAAAACATATAAACTTTTTTACTGGTTTTGAAAAAAATAATAAAAATTTGGAAAATCGTCATATCTCAATGATTAATTAACATTAAGTAACTCCAATTGCGTCAAAAGTTGCATAATTGAAGATGTAATCACAAAACATATAAAAATTTTTACTGGTTTTGAAAAAAATAATAAAAATTGGAAAATCGTCATATCTCAATGATTAATTAACATCAAATAATTCCGATTGTATCAAAATATCTGCAATGTGAGACGTTGCTGAGAAATGAAAAGTTTTCACTTCGATTTCTATTTTATTCTATTTTCGTTATTTTCATAATGAATGCGACTTTAATTATATAAAGAGCACCTCCCCATTTTCATTCATTCATTTATACTTTTACAGCGACAAAATAATAATTATTTATTCATTCATTCGTTTGTTTTTGGAATCCGCAGTACGCTCGGAACGTTATTAAAACTTTATTATTTTTTTTTCTGAGTGTATGTTTCATTTGAAAATTCGATTTTATTTAAAACAAATTTACATGTATTTCGCGAAACTCGTCTCGCGTTTTCATCATATTTTATTCGTTTCTGCATTATTACTGTTATTATTATGATACCATTACCTAACGCATATTCTACATTAGTGCACCACATGAACTAATGTTGAATATTATACGTATTTATTACCTTTTTCTATTATTTTTTTACTTACTCATTTACAGAGTATACTACTTAAATTGTTAAATATGCAAATTAAAGACCTTTCCAACAAGCCCACTATCTGGTTTTTGATATTCTCCGTTCTTCTGCTATAGAGAAATAAAATTTAAAAAAAAATAAAAAACAATGTCTGTTCGTCTTTTATTTAATTACATAAAAATCAAGCATGCTAATTGGATGATATAATACACCAATTAAAGATAATACTATGACGTTTACAACAATCTCATTACCAGATTTGTGACAATAGTTCTTCTGTTATAAGCTATCAAAATAATATAAATTTATTTTCACATCTTTTCATTCTGTTTTTAATTATTACTGCTTTATAACCATTTTTTTCCATTTGTTATTTGGAAGATCTCTAAAGTCAATAGTGTATTTGATGTTTCTGTTTGAATTTGTTATTTGACAGATGTCACTTTCATAAACTCAACAGTATGTTTGACGTTTCTTTTGTTAATTTATTATTTGACAGATCTCACTTTCATAACGTCAACTGTGTGTTTGTCGTTTTTATTTGAATTTCTTATTTGACAGATGTCACTTTCTTAAAGTTAACTATGTGTTTGATGTTTCTGTTTCAATGTATTATTTTACAGATGTTACTTTGTTAAAGTCAATCTTTTTGGTTAAAGCGAAAAATTATTCTGTCTTTCCAATGAAGTTAATATTTTATAGTTTGACGTTTCTTTTTAATTTATTATTTGACAGATGTCACTTTTATAACGTCAACTGTGTTTAAGGTTTTTGTTTGAATTTGTTATTTGACAAATGTCACTTTCATAAAGTCTGTGTTTGACGTTTTTGTTTGAATCTGTTATTTGACAGATGTCTCGGACCCATGAATAACCAAACAAAACGAACGGGACACGACGCAAAAACAAACGGATTCAATTATACGAAACGGATCAAATAATCTCCACACGACCAGGGTAGATTTTTCTTCCTCTTCTTCCTTCCCCCTTCTTCATTTGGCTTCCGCATTACGCGCCAATAAGCCAGCCACTGTCTACATTCGGAACACAAAATAACTTATTCTTCGGATTACTTCTTCCGCACAAATAATTAAATTAACCAGCTTTTCCCAATGTACCAAAACTTCCTTCTTCAGCACGAATAATGAAAATAAAGAACTTCTTCTAACGCAACTAAAAAATAACTATTAAATCAAACTAAACTAACTTCTACAAAATATGTACGTAGGAGAGATACGGCAAGACAGGTAAAAATAATAAAGGTAACGGATCGAACATAAATATATAACGAATTTCGAACCGGGGTCTCAGAGAGACCTCGGAAGGGTATAAATTAGAAAGGTTAACACGTTAAAATTATATAAAAAACTTTAGTATTGCTTTGTAAACGCCAACGTCCTCGGATTGGATGAGACACCGTATAGACGTGGGCATGGGAATTCTATTATGCAGCAATTGCTCATAAAGAACCCCGGATGCCTCACTATTGTGTTCACATGCGAAGACGATGTGATCCAGCGTCCCCACAGACCCGCAACTACATCTGTCCCAATCCTGCCACCCGATTCTGGCTAAATGTACCGGAGCCCGAGTATGTCCGGACCGCAAACGACCAAGCTTGGCAATGTCCGCCTTACTCCTGAAGCCCATCTTCAGGGTAGATCAGCGATCGGGGAACTTTTTTAACCATTACCTCAAAATATTTTTGCGTAAGTCGATATTACCCCCCCTTCACTCTGAAAAGAAAACAATCAATGTAACAATAATTACTTTAAAATTGGGACTTTTTGATGTAAGAGCAATTTAAATACAGAAAAGCCTTGTTCCCTATTACCCAAAAAAAAATCATTTTTACCCCATTTTGGGTAATTTACACCGGTTCCCAGACTGCTGGGGTAGATAATCCGTTTTCAACCGACAGATGGAGCTGCAAAAGAATCACCGAAATACACAAGTTATATAATATATATATATAAAAACTTGCACAAAAAACTTTAAAATAAGTAAATTATTATATCTTAGTTAAAAATGCTTTTAGTTTATACACCATAAGTAGAAATTGTTGTTAAAACTTAGATCGAGTAGGTGTGCAAAGTAATTGCATCAAAGTTGTTCACTTTTTTTATGCTTCATCTTCTTCTGTTTCAAATAGAAAAAGGAAGGAACGTCACTTTCCGTTTCCGCTCGTCGCTCCATCAAATAAATGAAACATTTCTCTTCTCAGATAATCAGATTTCACCCCGGACTGAGAATAATTAAGCGAAAGAAAGAAAATAAAATGAAAAGCTTAAATCTTGCAGCTTTTGCAGTTTATTCGAGACCCAGAGAATGACATTATATATATAAATAATTAAGAATAAATGATAAATTTTGAATAAGAAAGTAAAAATTTAATTATGTTTTTTTAAGAAGAAATTTGCTTATTTTAACATTATTATCTATTAACATCAAAATTAGAAATTAGTGCTTTTAATTAATATATAATTAATAATTAGTTTTATTAATAGTTTTATTATTGTATTAAATTAGTTTGTGCGCTTGAAATCCGCATTTGAGAGAGAGAGAAATTAATATTTATTTTGACACCTTACAGCAGCCAGACTGTTCTCCACAGCAGTCGGAAATCTCAGAACTCTCTTACAAGGTCGAACAGGAGATCAGAATTACACTCTGCGAAAACGAGATGCTGAGTGTTACGGACCGCAAGGGTACTAATAAACTAAAAATGAACTCTGACACATGGAAAACAATAAAAGCTGCTAACGAGGCCTTGGAGCGGATCTGTAAGGACGAACAACATCTTTCACTTACAGAACTCAACCAGCTGATATACGCAACATCAGCGGTGATTGCCAAGGAAGTGCAACCAAGAGTGCCGCGTAGTACAACTGTCGAGGGACCTGCTTGGAAAACGAGGCTCAAGAAGAAAATCGCTCTCTTCCGCAGCGATGTATCTGTGCTGGTTGAGTACCGCAAAGGAACGCCTGGCCAGTCTCTAAGCACTAAAGCAGCTGCCATACTTAAACGCCTGAAAATTCGAGATTTGGAACGGGCAATACAGAACCAAAAGATGAAGCTCCAGGCGATCTCTCAGCGGCTGAGGAGGTATACCAAGCGATCAGATCAGTTCCACCAGAACAGGCTGTTCCACACGGATGCTAAGATGTTCTACAGGAGCCTAAATCAAAAACAAAGCCCTGTAACCAAGCCTCCTTCCCGGGAGAAAGTGGACCGGTTCTGGCGAGGCATCCTAGAGGATGGTAGGTCGCACAACACTCGCGCCCCTTGGATCCAACGTGAAGCGGAATCATGTAAGGCAGTAACGACCAGTGGCTGGAATGATTTTACATTAGCTGAGCTGAAGAGCAATGTTAAAAAGCGTCCTTACTAGCCGACAGACTGTATAGCCATCTTACAGAAAACAATTTGCTCCCGCCTGAACAAAAAGGATGTAGACGAAGATCACAAGGCTGTAAGGACCAACTACTAGTTGATAGGATGGTCACAGAGGACGCTAGAAGACGCAAAGTCTCCCTTGCTATGGGGTGGATAGATTACAAGAAGGCGTTCGATAGCGTACCTCATAGTTGGATCATAGCAGTCCTGAAGATCTATAAAGTGAACCCGACCATCGTAAAGTTCATTGAGACTGCTATGATAGGATGGAAAACGGAAATGAAACTCTATCACGCAAACGGATGCTTCAGTACTGGTCAGATTTCCATCAAGAGAGGTATATTCCAGGGTAATTCTGTATGTCCCTGATTCCGCTTACCAGCATGTTAAATGTGGAAAAGCTTGGATACTCATTAGCGGATGGTCAGACAATCAACCATCTCTTATACATGGATGACCTTAAATTATACGCAAGGGATAAGAAACAGCTAGACCAGGAGATCGGAATAGTCAAAAATTTCAGCGATGATATATCGATGGAGTTCGGACTGGACAAATGCTCTAGAGTCCTAATAAAAAAGGGTAAATTGGAGTCCAGTCCAAGAGCAAATGTGGAACACAAAGACCAAAGTGGTTCCGGTCGTTGTTGGAGCTCTCGGTACACTCAAGATCGGATTCGAGAAGTACCTGGAAGAGCTACCGTCTAGAGTTAACGCCGAGCAGGTGCAGAAGATCGCATTGCTGGGAACAGCTCACATCCTACGAAAAGTCCTATCTATCGGACAATAAACGCCCTATGGCCCAGGTAGGGCCCCGGCAAAGAAGAGCAACTGGCACGAAAGTGCCAAGTCACAAATAGACCATAATAAGGAAATAATAACAATTCAGAAAAGAAAAAAAAATCTAACATAAACTAACAAAAATAATTAAAAAACTGGCCAAAAGGCTACAGACCGAGGTCTTTCCGTCTGGGAACATAAATTTAATGATATGAAAAAAAAATATACATATGTATATAGCAAAATAAGAAAAGTGTATGAAATAAAAAATACAGCAGGGTTGGAATTAGGAGGGTTTTAATCAAGGGACATTAGGTATTGGAAAAGATATTTAAATTTGGGATGGATATTTGGGTTTCGAGAGGTACAGAATTTAGAAAGGCAAGCGATATTGGATTCTGTGGATTTAAATTTCCCGGAGAATTAAAGGTTTTGGTGCAGAGGATTATTAGGATGTCGTATATTGGTGAGAATACGAAGGGCGGAAGTTTGGATACGGACAGGTTCTTTTGGACGGGATTTCGGCATTGGGAAAATAGAGGGAAACCATAGTCAATAATTGGACGGCAAATGGATTTGTAAATGGATGTGTGGCACTGTAAGGATATTTCGATATTTCGTCATATAAGCGGGCTGGAGTATAATAAATTATTTTTTTTTTCACAAATTTTTATTTATACAATAAAGTATAATTTACTATAAAACGTAAATAAGGAAATAATTACTGACTGATTTTATGTTGATTTTAATTATATGCATTAATTATTTTTATTTTTTTTATATTAATATAAAGGCTTCATAGTAACAAAATATTTTTTTACTCAAGAAAATTTATACATATAGTTAATGTTTATTAACTATAATTCAACTGACTTATTTATGATGATAAATAAAAAATGATGATTTATGTATACAAAAATATTTTTTGAGAATTTAGTTGACGCATATTTGCTTTCGATTGGTCCCGCTACGATTGAAGCGCTTGTGGCCATCACCCCATTAACTTTGAATTTATTACGGCGCTTGCTTCAAATATGTTTTATTGTATCGTTGATGATAGAAAAGAAAATAATTATAACTATACAAAAATGTGTAAACAATCAGAGCAACTGCATACGTGGTACAGACTACACCTCTCAAATTTGAATACCCAATTATCCTGGAAAGAGATAAACTGGAGGAAAATATTGATATTGAAGAGTATTATAAGATGTGCATGACAACTTCAAGAAAATCATAATATACGAAAATTATTTGACCTACAAATACTCCTTTACTCAATTCAGCACTACTAATTATAGTTATGATATGATGTTGAATTTACACGAACGAACAGTCGTGTTAATGCTGCTGATTGATCCTAAATCCATAAACGAACTGTTTTGATCGAAGGACCAAGTTGTGCGGGTGAATAATATGAACTCGGTCTGGTAGATTAAAAATGTCGGTTTATTTTATTTATTACAATTCACACTACTATTTAACTATCTCTCAACTCATATTTTTACTTGAAATCACTTAACTGTCAACTCATATTAATTGTTTTATTTTTTTTCGTGCTTCTTTTCTTTAAGCGAAGCCTACCTTTTTTTTGGCGCACAATGTTGCCATTATTTGACATTGGCGCCCAAACACAAGCTAACCAGTGAAACTTCAACCAGGGGCACCAAGTCATATGAGAAATCTGTTGTATAGCCACTGCGGTGGCGTTCCTTAGTGCATGGGGAGCACATAACGCATAATAATTTGAAATTTCAAACAATAAAAATTTTCGAATACATTTGTCCTATATTTACTTTTCCTTTCAATAGTTTTTATTGCTTTAACGTTTTCGAACTATTTACATTTATTATTAAACATTTTGGTCTTTCTTAAGATTTGTATTACTAGTGATTAGTTTATTAATTAGTGAGTATTGTTAAATTAGTAGGGTGGTGATAAAATCCTTGTTAGATTTTCTTTTTGCTCTTCATTCCCAAGGTTGTTTTGTAAGTGCCATTGGATATATTTAACTAATTTATTTTAGCTTTCCAGACTGATTGAAGGAACATTTGTGAGGACTATAAGGTGGGATAAATGTAACTAATTTGTTTTAGGTTATTTAAAATTTCATTTAAGATATATAGGACTACAAATAAACTCCAGTAAGTGTATATTTAAAATGTATTGCACAATAGTAAACAAATATAACTTTTCAGAAATGAGATACACTTGTCCAGTTCCGGGATGTATTTCCATTCAAGAACAGGAGGAAATAATTATGTCAATCCCTATGGATAGAACTGAAACAGAATTACTAGAAGATATAAAAGATTTGAATACAGATGATATGCATTGTGAAGTAGAAATGTTCCTAGAAGATTAATTAGAAATTTTCAATAATTTTACAAAATTAAATAACAGTACACAACGTTTTATTCGTAACCAATTAACGAATTTACCAAGAAAGAAATTAGGCAGAACATACACATTAGAAAACAAATTATTTGCATTGAGTATTTTTAAAAGATGCCGTTGTTGCTATATTTATTTGTCATATATATTTGCCTTACCTAGTATACCAACTCTAAAAACATATATCTGCAATTAGAATTGAACCAGGTATCAATGCATCTATATTTAAGGCATTAAATGCACATGTTCTGAAAATTGAGGATAATAAAGAAAAAACATGTAGCTTAATTTTTGACGAAATAAGTTTGAATCCACATTTTGATTTAGATAATTCCACGCAAATAGTTTTTGGATTTAAGGATGATGGACAAATAATATTGCCGATCATGTACAAGTATATATGTTAAGATCTCTGTAATCAAATTGGGAAGTACCTTTGTGTTATACGTTTAGTAATGGTCCAACAGATGCAAATATTTTGTTAATGAAATAGTTTCTGAATTAACGAAAATAGGATTCAATGTAGCGGCACTTATTTGCGATCAGGCACCTACAAACATAACATTAAATTATATTAAATAAGAGACATGAAACAAATATTATTTGCATTGGTAATAATAATATAGTATCATTGTATGATATATGCCACATCATAAAATGCTTCAGAAATAATTTNNNATTTAACAGATTGCTTACATAATTTTAAAATTATTCCAAAGATAACAGAAGAACATGTAATAGAGAACAGAGTACGAAAAATGAATGACGTATTTTAATAATGAAGAAGCATTAGGAACTGCATCATTCTGCTCATTCATGAATGACTTATTCGACAGTATGAATGGTCATAACATTAGCAATTCTGCAGAATTAAGAACGCGAGTGACTATAGATTCCAACCATTTACAGTTCTGGTACAAATCAATAAAAATCCTGGAAAATATAAAATACATTACTACATCAAAACAACCTCCTGTTATTCTTAATTGCATACATACAATAAAAGGGTTCATAAATTTACATAATATTCTACTAAAGGACATAAATTTGAATATTTCATGCCAATTGCATTAAATCAAGATCCCTTAGAAAATACATTTGGACAAATACAACAATTAGGTTTCAGATATACAAATCCATCATGCTACACTTTTGAATTGATAGGGGGAGCTATTGTGTATAGTGTGATAGGGTACGTGAATATAGGGCGGATGAATACTTTATATGTGTGGAGTAGGGTTTCGGCGGAGCAACCGCCCCGTTTGGATCGGAGGCAATAAAGAAGGTTTAATTGTTGGTTTGTTTTCTTGAGGAGGGGGCTGATTAAAAGTTTGGTGTTAAGGGTATGGGATAGTTGGATTCCGAGATAGTTGGCGATTTTGTTTTCCAGGATTTGAGAATTCCACAAGGAGATTGAGAGAGGTTGAGAAGCGCGGATTCTGGGGTGGCGAAATGTAATGAGTTGTGATTTTGAGGGGTTGGGTTTTATCCGCCATCTTCTCATCCATGATTCCAGGTTGTGACAACATTCTTGAAGATTATTAATGGCATTGGTGGGGGAGCGATCAGATGAGAGAGTAACGGTGGGCAGGGGTTGGTATATCGGAGCAAAATATGTTGAAGAGTATGGGTGAAAGGATAGCCCCTTGCGGGACTCCAGAAAAGATTGCAGATGGAGTTGAAAAGGCGTTTCCGATTTTGATTGATACGGATCTGGTGAGAAGGTAATGTTGCAGGAAATTTATAAGGTAATCGAGGAAGCTGAGGTGGATAAGCTTGTGAATCAGGCCATTATGCCACACAGTGTCAAATGCCCTGTGGATATCAAGGAATAAGGCGGGAATGTACCGGCGGGAGTTTATAGAAGTTATGATGTGGGTGCTTAGATTGAGGATTGCGTGCTGTGTGGAGGTGTGGCTAGTAAAGTCGTATTGGTGTGGTGGGATGATGTTGTGGGAAGAACAGTGGGAGAGGATTCTTTTGTAAATTATTTTTTCAAGGAGTTTACCTAAAACTGGGAGTAGTGAGATGCGGCGATAAGATTCGGGGAGGGTGGGGTCTTTTCAAGGTTTGTGGATCATGATGGTCGATGCATGTTTCCAGGGATTTGGGAAGTGGCCTAAACTGAAGGCAGAGTTAAATATTTCACATAGCCAATTTTGAGCAGCCTGCGGGAGTTTCCGCACAATGGACCATGTGATGCCGTCTTTTCCGGGTGCACATCTCTTCCCAGAAGCCTCGATGATGGACCGGATTTCATCCGAGGAGATACGCTCGCTGCTGGTAATAATATATAAACCTTGGGCGTGCAATGGTTTCGTCTTCCACGGCAAATAAAAATTGCAATTTCAAAAATAAAAACCGCAATTGTAATATTTAGAAATGGTATACAGGGAAATACAGCGAGATGGAAATGAATAGAAAATGTACGTACGTAATAAGATTTTTAGGATGGAAAACTTTCCGATGAATACGAGGATAGGTGTAGCGCGTTTTCTTTGACTCAGTGAGCTAAAATGTGCCGACTGCAAATACGTTATCGCCGTTTATTGAAATTTTACAAATATACAAAAAAAAGATTACGCACAGTATTAAATTAATCGTTTAAAACACTTA